GGTCAGGCTGGGCGCTGTGGTTCATTCCTGTAATCCCAGCACTTTGGGAGGCCAAGGTGGATGGATCACTTGAGGTCCGGAGTTTGAGACCAGCCTGACCAATGTGGTGAAACCCCGGCTCTACTAAATACAAAAAATTAGCCAGGCATGGTGGTGCATGCCTATAATCCCAGCTACTTGGGAGGCCGAGGCAGGAGAATTGCTTGAACTCGGGAGATGGAGGTTGCAGTGAGCCGAGACGGTGCCATTGCACTCCAGCCCAGGCAACAAGAAAATCTGTCTCAAAAAAAAAAAAAAAAAAAAAAAGATCATGGGGATTGATTTTGTCAGACTGCTTATCAGAATCAAAGGAAATGATTATAGGCTTTGAAAAATATAGACCTTATATTTATTAATTAATGAATTTTGCAGCATTGAATCATTCTTGCTACCCTGGAATAAATCCTATATGATAATTATGTATTTTGCTTAATATATTATTGGACTCTGTGTAACAAAATTTTATTTAGAATTTTTTCCTCAATATTTGGAAGTGAGATTCAAATCTGGCGTTCTTTAATTGTGTGCAATCTTAATCACTTTTATATAAAGTTTGAATTCATATCACAAAACTAATTAAGAAATCTTTGTGTTCTGTGTCTGTATATTTTAAGTAACATTGAAATTATCTGCTCTTCAGAAGTTTGTTATAGTCTCTGTGAAATCTTTTAGGTATGGCATTCATTTGTTGGGGGCAGGAGGAGCTCTTGATGCTTGAAGGAGTCTTGGAATGATATGTTCATATGTACTTCTATCCCAGTTCTAGTTGTCTTGGATGACTGAGGGCTCTAGGTAGGAGAAAGAAGGAAGGAAGTGTTCAGGGGTAGAGGCTACCTTTCCCAAGGCAAAAAACTGGGGTGGATTGATAGCATAAAGGATTGAGAGTGACAATGATTCTTTGCTTGACCAATCTTTGTCAGGCTCCTGAACATTTTCCTAGGCCCATCCATGCACTTCCTTGTAAAATCCATTTTTAGCCAAGAACAAGGATAAGTCAGTTTCTCAAGAATCCCTGTCCCCCTATATCTGATCACCCTTGATATCTTACCAGGTTTCTCATCCTTCACCATTTCTCAGGTTATGTCTGATCTACCCTGGCCTGTCTTTAGCAAGAATCCCATTAGGTCAGTTTAGTCAGAATCTTCTTTACCCGTGATGTTTCCTCTTAGCACTTTTCCATCCACTGACCTCCACCCTGATTCTTGGTGATAAATTCCCATTGCCCATGCTGTACTCAGAATTGAGCCCAGTCTCTACCCCACTGCAAAATCCCATTGCCTTGGTCTCTATACCTACTGTGATGGTACTGAATAAAGGCTGCCTTACCTTTAACAAGTGTCATTGCTTAACAAGTGTCAAGAATGCTTAACAAGTATCATTGCTTTAACAAGTTTTCTAATTATACAATAGTTTAATTCCATCTAGGATGGAGGAGGAGAAAGAGGGAAGCAATGTGGGTGGGTAGGAGGGCTGTGAAGAGAGGCGTCAGGAGAGGCCTAAGCTGAGAGGATCAGCTGCCTCTTTCCAAAGATTTTTCTTCTGACTCTGCATTCCAACCTATCCTAGGGGTCTCTGTCCTATTTTCACAGCTGGGAAGAAGAAAGAAATTTCCTATAGTCGGTTGAACTTCTTGGCAGCCTTGGAGGATGGAGGAGATAGATCCTCAGAGTCACCCCACAGGAGGGAGCTTTGACAAACAGAAGTCAGCGGTCCCACCCCAAGTTCTCCTCATTTGTATTTTCCAGTGTCAGCCAAGTCCCACGGCTTAATAAGCCTCAGATCATGGGCAGTCCTTTCGAGTGGAGTCTGATTTTCTGAGGCAGCTCTCTCCACAAGTGGCTTTGGAACTCCATTACTCAGACCGCCCCACTGTGAGGAAGCTTGGCTAAGGCTGCAAGGCAGTTGGGGGTGATGGGACACAGGACGAGCCCTTCCTGGTGCCCTGGGCGGCCAGGTCCCCTTGTCTCCCCTGTGTCAGGGCTCCGGTGCTTCCTCGCCCTTCTCTTCTTACATCTACAGCAGGAGGCAGGGCCTTCTCCCCCCCCGCCATAATACAACCTGCCACCAGGAAGCGCTGCTCTACAGAGCGGAGAGTGGGGAGCTTGGAGGAGAGAGCACGACCCCCTCCTGCTGCAGGATGTTGCCCTTGTTCGAGGCAGAGACAGGAGGCCTCAGACAGCTGTGACAGCCCTGGAGCTCTCCTACCACATCTGAGCCAGAGGGAAAACTTTGGAGAAGCAGAAGCCCAAAGACACTGCTGGGAGATTGGTCTGTGCTCTGGGAGAACCCTAGGTTGTGTTTCCCGTGTACAAGTCACGGATCTTCTGGAAGGTACCACCGCTCCCAGCCCCGCTTGGCTGAGGGCTGAGGGCCACAGGTTTTCGGGACTGTGCCTGTGGTTGGAGGCTGTGGACTCAAGTGCGTCTGGCCCAGGACTTTCACAGGGCTCAGGGCGGGCTGGGGGAAGGCCCAGCTGTGAACTATTATAAGGGGGTTTCACAGTCTAGGCCAGCACTTCTTCCCCTTTCACAGGCAAACGTGACATTCCTTTTCAGCACCTATACTCACCCAGTTACATCAAGGCGGACCACACTTGTCCAACTCACAGCCCCAAAAGTCAGGGGAGAATAAAGCACAGTGGCTGATTTTAGCATTTTTAAAATGGAAATGTGAGTCAGCACCTGACGGACCTCACAGATCTCTGCTATGCCGCAGGGGCTGCTGACCAGCCCTGAAGGCTCAGGGTGGCCCCGGGCGCTCTCAGAGCAGGCCTGCTTCTCACAGCTGAGCCGCTCAGTGCTGGGGGCTGGTGTTGAGTGGGTGGGAACCAGCCAGGTTCCCCGTGGAGTCTCTGCAGGAGGCTCTGGAGGGTCGGGGGTAGATTCCCAGGAAAGAGACTTCTGTCATTTGCTTTCCTCCAAGGCAGCCTCAGACTCTAGCAGGCAAGTGGTCACTTTCCTGCAGAAACATCCTGTCCTCCTATTCTATCCGATAAGGAGGGCAGAATGAAGAGGTTGGGTGGAACCCTGGCCTTGGAGTCTGGAGACAAGGATTTTACTCTTGGCAAAGCACATTATATAGATAGGGATATTGTCCTCCAATTTTCCTTTCACTTCCTTAATTAATATGGTTATCAATACTATTATTGATGTATTGAACCCCTGCCATGTTCCAGGCACTGTGCTGAACACTTCACTAAACACTAGTTCATTAAATCCTCACAACCCTATGAAAGAGGTACTCTTATTCCTATATGCAGATGGGGAAACTGAGGCTTCAGGAGGTTGAGAAAGTTTTCCAAGGTCACCAAAAAGGATGATTTTGGACCCAGTCTGTTAATTATCCCCCTGGAGAGCACCATTGATCAAAATGGACCTGACCATGTTCCTCTTTGGACTGGTTACTTAGCAACAAACAGAAAAATTATTTAGCAATTGTTTAAAACCAATTCTAAGTTTCTTTGGATAGCTCATTTCATAAGACAGGTCTCACCTCTTTGGCTCCCACCCACCCCCACTATGGAAACACAGGTTGTAAATTTTTATAACCCAAATACTAGTGTCCGCCACTTTCTGTGCTCTAGTCCCACTAGCTGCTCTTGGCCCTGCCACTCCTGGCTCCCTGGCCTTAGTGAGTTTGGGAAGCATCCCTCCAGTTCAACCTCAGCACCTTCCCTTGTACACACATTAGGTATGATTGCTCCTTCAGTTGAAGACATGGTAGCTATTGAGAGGCAAGACATCTCTTGATGTGAGCCTTGAAGGACAGGTTGAATTGGGTAGGCAGAGAGAAGCTGGTAAGGCATATATTGTCTAAGGGTCTGAAGGTGGGGTATAAGGGGTATACAAATCATAGAGTTGGGAATAGGCAGAACCCAGAGAGGGGAGAAGACTGGCCTGAGATAGAAAACCTTGCAAGGGAGAAGGGCAGGAGCCTGGATGGTGTGAAATGCTAGAGATGCATGGCTGGAATGGAGGGGGCAGGGCACCAGGCTTCAGATGCTTCTGGGTGCAGATGCAGATTTTCAGGATGTACAACATGGAGCATCCCCAAGGTAACTGTATTGAGAGCCTGCGAGGCAGGTGAACGTGGATCCTCTACCCCGTCTCCTGACTGAGTTCACCAGGGAACAAGCTTTGTAAACTCTTTGAGGGTAGGGGCTGTGATTTTTTACTCTCATATCTTCAGAGCCTGGTGTTGAGGGTGGTGCTTTGTAGGCACTCAGCGACTTTCAAATGAATGAAGGGAGGGAGGGAGGAAAGAAGGATGGGTCCATGGTAGGATCTGATGATGGGATGGGAGCTCCAGGCAAATGTCAACCAATCCCTCTCCTGGGTCAGCCCCCAGGGGCTCACCCTTCTTTGCATTTCCAGCTCTCATGAGGTCAGTGTGCACAGGAAAGCTCACTCCTCTAATCTCCTCTGATCCTACTGCACCAGAGAAACTAAGCCAGAATTCAACGAAGTCTCAGTCTAGATAAACAAGACAAAAGAAATAAGATTTGAGGAGAAGATCTCAAAGAGAAAGTTGCTGTGTTTGTCCAAGACCTTTGTCCCATCCATGTATCATCCCTCAAGTAAATGCTTCTTGTTCACTTGTTCATTAGATTTCAAGTGCAGTCCCTGGCCTGTAAGTCCCTACAATTACAAGTTTCTCTTATCATTGCACATTCTTCATCAGGAGGATGCCGGAGGAGCTCAGCCAACAGTTCCTCATCAGTAGCAGATTCTTCAGAACTTGGGCACTACACAGATGCCCTTGAGCTCTTTGAATACAGGTTGATTTTTAGAAAATACATTAAGACAGAACTTAAAAACAATAGATTGACTAATTGTAGTCCAAAGACGAGTGTACCTCTAACCACAATTTTCATTTATTTTTAAATGTTTCCTTCATGGCCTTTCTTGTGGCTCCCCCTATGCAGTTTGTGTATTTGTTGAAAACTTTATGTGTTTTTAACATGGTTTTTGCCAAACTTGGTTTTTCTGAGACCGTCTTTTCTCATAGGCTCAGTTTTACCGTCCTATCTGCAGTCGGCTACTTTCGGTGGCAGAAGAGGCCACATCTGCTTCCTGTAAGCCCTCTGGGCAGAAGCATGCGGTGGTGTCTCTTCCTGATCTGGGCCCAGGGGCTGAGGCAGGCTCCCCTCGCCTCAGGTAAGGCCTGAAACCCAGCAGAGCAGCGAGGAGGAAAAACAAGGCTAAGCTTGGTGTGGAGACTTGGGTGCTTGTGTAGGGAAGACTCCAAGAGCATGCCACAGCTGCTTGAGAGAAAGAAATTGCAGCTTTTAGGGTCCTGTGTACTCTCATGTAAGAAAGGACAATCTCTGAGAATGAGGTGCGGTTCTGTTTTTGGTGGCAGATGAAGGACTTTGTAGACTCTCGGGGTTGGGGGAGCCTGACTGGCCAGTACGAGGAGCAGGAGAAGAAGGAGGGCTGGGCAGGAGGCATTGCCAGTTTGCTTTCAGAAGCTCATTCCTGCTCCGGCTTCTTTTCTGTTGCCTTTGAGGAACTTTCCAGGAAAACATTATAAGTTCTCTGTGAATTGAAAATGTCTTTTTCACAGATTCCAGAGATTCTACCACTAGAGACCGATTTTTTGTTAAATTCATTTCTTCTATATTAAAAATCGGAGTCAACTATTTCTGAGGGAGGGGAACACAAATATTTAAAAACCGTGGTATAAATTAGTTTTTATGTTGCTTTCTGAACTATCTGAGGATGGAGATGTGCCCAGGGGTGCTGGGGAGAGGTTAAGTGCTGAGAAGGTGGTTATGCCTGGGAGAAGCAGGGTTTCCTGCTAAGCTTCCTTTTCTATTGGATTTCTTGGCTTTCCTGAAGGTTTTTTCAGGCACTGCAAATGACAATCAGCCAAACAGCAAGGTTTTATTTCAAAGGATAAGGCATCCAGCACAGAACTAGGCTGCGGCAAGAAACATAAAAACAAAACAAAATAAAACAAAAACAGAAGAGGTGGTGTCGGCTGACAAGGGCTTATATTCTAAGTGGGTAGACAAAATAGGCCTATGAAAATAACAAGCTAGCCATGAAGCTACACAGCAGAATATGCTGAGGGGGCAACGGCTAAGTTGTGTAGTCATAAGCCAGGCATTTAGTAAGGTGCTAATTGTACAATACGGGCAGTGAATGTGAAAGGAAAAGGGAGATTGAGATGGGCTGGGGTCTTCTAGGAGGCGGGGAGGGAGTTCAGCTTTGACAAGCCTTCCTGTGGGTGGGGCGTAAAGTGGGGCAGAAGTGGGCTCTGGAAGCATAGGGCAGTGGGTGGGGAGGAGAGGGACTGGGCTGGGCTGGAGTAGAGATGTGTGGAGAAGGATGAGAAGACTGGAAAGACAACCTGAGGGGGACTGGGAGCCTTCAATAACAGGCATGGAGAGGAGCGTCTGTTGAAATGCAAGAAACAGGAAATAATTACAGCCTCTATTGGGGAGCAACAGGATGGACTGGAGAAATTATCATTCCAAAACCCAGTTGTGGCCTCAAAGCCCCTTAGAGTTTTTCTAGGAAGGTTGAAGGCCAGCTGCTGACCCAGGACTCACATGTGCTTTGTCCTCTTCCCTAGGAATGATGACAGGCACAATAGAAACAACGGGGAACATTTCTGCAAAGAAAGGTGGCTCTGTTATCTTACAATGTCACCTCTCCTCCACCATGGCACAAGTGACCCAGGTCAACTGGGAGCAGCATGACCATTCGCTTCTGGCCATTCGTAATGCTGAGTTGGGGTGGCACATCTACCCAGCCTTCAAGGATCGAGTGGCCCCGGGTCCTGGCCTGGGCCTCACCCTCCAGTCGCTGACCATGAATGATACAGGGGAGTACTTCTGCACCTATCACACCTACCCTGATGGGACTTACAGAGGGAGAATCTTCCTGGAGGTCCTAGAAAGCTCAGGTATTCCTGCTGGAGCAAGTTGGCAGATAAACCTCTCCCTCTAGCATAGAAAATGCAATCCCGAATCACTGCACAGCAAGACTTCTCAATTCGGGATCACATTTGAATCACCTGAGGTGATTTTAAATCCTACTGATGCCGAGGCCCCACCCAGACCAATTCAATCAGAATCCCTAATAGCAGAGCTAAACAGGGGTAGGCTCTAAAAGCATTTCCAGGTGATTCTAACAGACAGCCAATACTGAGAACCACTGTTCTTACATAAGAAGCACATCTTACCTATATTTCCTAGGAAGACCAGTTGATGAGGTCATATGCAAAAGTTCTCATTTACTGATTTAGTATCAACTGTGCAAATTAGAATTAACCCCTAAGTATATAAAGATTAGAGCTGGTTAAAAACAAAGCACAGCCTGTGCTAAGTTTAATTGTACAATAATTTACATTTGTGTGGTACTTCCAAGTTTCCAAAATGCCCTCATATTTATTATCCACCTGCACATTTAAACCAATTCCCAGAGGTTAGAAAAGGATTCTTATCTGAGAGACAGTATAGCGCCGTGGTTAAAAGCTCAGACTCTGACCCCAGACAGTCTGGGTGCAAATCCTGGCTCTGCTGTTGCCCTCAGACAGGATTTCTTAGCTTCTCTGTGTATCAGTTTTCTCATCTGTGAAAGGAGGATGAATATAAGACCTTATGCGATGCTAATGTCGGATTAAATTCCCTACTACCCCTTTGCTTTCCATCTGCCCTCTTTCCTCCAGCGCTAACTGTATGGCTGTGGCTAACCAGGAGCTGTCCTGGCCCACTGTGACTGAGTCCCTCAAGGCAGGAGGAACGTGTTCTGGGGAATTTGAATTCTGCAGGCACCACCCTTCTCTTATTATGGCTTGGATTCCTAAGCCACCTTTTAGCAACCCAAACCCTTAGTTAGAGGGACGAGATGTCAGGCTTCTGCCGCACCCTACTCCTTTGAAGACTCCCCTGGATACCTGAGTGCTGCCTGAGCTCCTGGGGCAGCCTGGAAACCCACCTTCAGCACGGCGTGCATGGGGGTGATGGTGTTCTTTTTCTCATGCTCTTCTGGGATCAGATCTTATTCATCTCTTCAAAACTCCCCTCCTGCATCTTCTTGCTTCCACTTACATGTTATCTCTCAATGAAATTCACTAGTTCTTGATTTCACTTATGCCACAAATATTTACTGAGTGTTCACTATGTGTCAGATGCTCAGAAAACAGCAAAGGATAAGACTCCAGAGCCTCATGTCATCCAGGGTTTCAAGCCTAGCTGGAAATAAGTGTATCTGGAAATAAGTGTTATAGGCTTAAGGGAAAAGGTTACATGCTTTTTTTCATTTTTGTAATTTAATGTTAACTTTAATTTTGAATTAAATATTTTTATTGATGGGATTTCATATTTGAAGTTCAATAAAAGAAAATATTCACTTTCTGAGTTTTTTTCTGGAACTACTATTTGTTTCATTTCATGATTACCAAAAATGATTTTGTCAAATAGAGGAAAGGAGTGTTAAAATGACCTGCTCTGGTGTCAAATATACAAGGTACACCACTGCTCAAAAGATCAGTCATTGATTTCATGATGGGCCAGATGGATACTCTGCTGTTGGACTTAAAGGCTCTAGTCCCATGGTTACACAAAGGGCCTGATCAAAACTTACCTCTCTGCCGTGAAGCTCAGGCTGCCCTGGGGAAATCAGCTTTACTTCCAGCTTCTGCCACTCATCTCTGTTTTGTCCTCCCTCTAGTGGCTGAGCACAGTGCCAGGTTCCAGATTCCATTGCTTGGAGCCATGGCCATGATGCTGGTGGTCATCTGCATAGCAGTCATCGTGGTGGTCGTGTTGGCTAGAAAGGTAATGGCTCTGGCTGCACATCTCAGTCATGGGCACCCCTACAGCTGCCACCCTGGTCCTTCAGGTTGTCTTTCCACCCAGAGAGAGACCCAGATGTGATCTTCCCCAGTGCTCTTTGTGCCTTTTTTTCCCTAGCACTTGTTCTGCCTATTAGTGCAGTTATTTATGCTCTTCCCTTGTCCCTCTTGTAGGGAGGGACCTCCTGGACAGCTGGACCTGTTTCCTACCCATCTTGCTGTCATCTGTAACTCCTGGTTTCTGCTTATCCCTTCAGCCACTGCTCTGAGAGTTTAATTTATCTACTATGATTTTGATGCATTCTGGGCATCTATATGTGCTAGAGTTTTCTGCACATTCGCTCTTTTGATGTTTACAACTCTCTGGTAGTACTAGGCTACCCAACATGTCTGTAGAATGAGAAATAAACACTCCAAAAATGTAGGGCTAGGCCAGGAGCTGTGGCTCACACCTGTAATTCCACCCCCTTGGAGACTGTGGCGGGAGGATCACTTAACTTCAGGAGTTTAAGGCTGCAGTAAGCTACGACTGCACTCCAGCGTGGGCAACAGAGCAAGACTCCATCTCTAAAAAAAAAAAAAAATTGGTGGTAAAGTGGGCATGGCAAGATCAGCAGGTTGTAAATCCTCTGTGTAGCTTAAGAGTTTATGTGGCTGAGAGTAATGAATGGGGAATTGAAAGATCTAGTTTCTAGTTTTGGCACTGAGTGTATGCTTTTAGAAAGTTACTTAATCTTCCAAGGTCTTCATTTCCTTATATATAAAATGGGGATTTGTCTTAGTCTATTTTCTGCTGCTGTAACAGAATACAATATATTGGGAAATTTATAAAGAAAAAAAGTTTATTTGGCTCATGGTTCTGGAGGCTGGGAAGTCCAGGAGCATGGTGCATTTGGCAGGGTTCATCCCATGGCAGAAGGCATCATGTAATGAATGAGTGCATATGAGAGAGAGAGAGAAATGAGGCCAAGCTCATCCCTTTAATTAGGAACTTACTCCCATGATACCTAACCCACTCCTGAGATAATGGCGTTAATCCCTTCATGAGGGCAGATCCTTCATGGCCTAATCACCTCTTAAAAGCATTACCACTTAATACTATTACAATGGTAATTAAGTTTCCAACACATGGACTTTTGGGGGACACATTGAAACCATAGCCGTATTATAATTTGGCTTGCTCTATATCATAGAGTTGTGATCAATAAGTGGCATATTTCATGTAAAATCTTTATAAAAAATGAAGAATTATATCAGTGAAATTTGTGTCATCAGCTGCCGGTATTGATTGGGAGGAGTGAAAGAATTTCCACTCCTTGTTTTGTCTGATCTCTTGGGTCATTTAAGTCAGCTCAGCCCAGGTCACCTTAATTCAAGTCACCACATAAATATTTTGGGAAACACAAGTATGTAATTTCTACCTTTACCCTAGACCCACCTCCTGAGATCCTAACCCACTTTTCCTCCAACTCTAATTCCATTCAATTAACAACTCAATTCTGCAGCCTGGTTGAACTGCAGTGGCTGAGATATATGGCTGGTGCTATTGGGAAGGTCAATGATCTATAATATTTTCATTTATGTGTAGGCTATCACAGTAGACATAATGAGGAAATGAACCCTCTAGGGGAAGGTGAGGACAAGAGAAATGATTAAATGGAGGGAGGAGGTGAAGAAGATGAAAGTTGATCTCTTAGCTGGGAATGGAGCTGCTATGGTGGTTGGTGAACAGGTTCTCTGCTGTTAGCAGTGTCCTGATAGTCTGGAATAAAAGAATCAAAGGCCCTTTAGAAGGAGCTGAACAACTTTTTCTGTTGAAGATTCAAGACTGGTTAATTTTCATTCTGGGCACCTGGACTAACTTTGGTCATCTGGAGGGTGGAGAAAGAGAAAAAGGTGAAGAGATCTATTAAGTCCTGTTGCCCCCCTTCTACAGTGTTTGATTTCCCAGCCCTCTCTAACATTTCCACTGCTTACTGTGTAGTACAGGTCCTCTCTGCATCTTTCCTGTACTTTGGCTATAGTTGCCAGTCTTCTCTCTGTCTCTCCTTGCTCAAAGCATTTTATACTTGCATTATTCAGGGTTCCAGCAGGGAACACGTAGTACTTTCAAACTGGGTTGTTTGAAGACAGTTTAATAATAGAATTTCCAGAAGTCGACTAGGATGTAAGGACACCACAAGGAGGAGTAGCAAGGTGTTTGACCATTCCTAGTTCTTCAAAGGGGACGAAGTGGGAGGGGCTAATTATTGGAGCCTGTAAGAAGAGAATTATGTGGAGGGGTCTCCTTCAGAAGTGCTGTAGTCTTTGCTGGAGGGTCACAACCAGTCCAAGGGCACCCTTCTGAGAGAACAAAGGGAACTACATACCCTCATCTCGTTCCTCTCTCCATTCCCCTACTGTTGCTCTGCATTGGCTGACCTCAAACTTAGGTTGGAGGACAAGGGGACTCATTGATATAGTACATTTAGTACAGTCTTCATAGGGCACAGAATAGGGCGGAGAAGGTTAGAGAGTAGAGCCAAGAGGCAAATGGATGGTATCCATACCAGCAGTGCTCATAGACATGAAAGCTGGACAAAGGATTTTGACTTTCCATGGGATTGGCTGGCTTCAGCCTTCTCTCTTGTAGTCTTGATCTCTTTTGATTATGTATGTAAGCAATACCCTTCTTGGCTGCCCAGCTGTATTTCTCCTGGGCACACCGTGCTCTATTAACCATTTTAATATCCCCACGGATCAGGCTTTCTTGGCTCCCATTGCAGTAATTACATCCATTTTGTTTCTTAAGTGCTGCTATCTGTCCTGTACTATTTTGGGATCTCCTCATCCTCATTGCTACTAGGGATCCAGTTCTGTAAAAGCATCTCCTACTTTAGCCCTAGCCTATAAAGGAGAGATACCACCAAACTTCTCAATGATGCTGGAGCTCCCCTAGCACATGCTTTTACAGCTTAGTAAAGGGGACATTCTTTTTCTTTTTCCTTTTCCCCCTTATTGTTGTTATTATCTTAAGGGATGTTCTCTGTATCTTCCCTAGAAGAGCCAACATAATCAGCTACTGGATTTTGGAAATTATTCAGTACGGGGATTGGCAAAGTGTCTCTGTAAAGGGACAGATAGTATATCTTTTTGGGTCTGTAGGTCATATGGTCTCTGTTGCAACAATTCAACTTTGCCATTGTAGTGTGAAAGTGCGATAGATTAAATATAAATGAATGAATATGGCTTTGTTTCAACAAACCTTTATTTATAAACACTAAAATGTTAATTTCATATAATTTTATGTGTAATAAAATATTAGTTTGTCATTCTATAAATTTTTATTTTTTAATTTTTTATTTCAGTAGGTTTTTTGGGGAATAAGTCCTTTAGTGGTGATTTCTGAGATTTTGGTGCACCCATCACCCGAACAGTGTACACTGTACCCAGTGTGTAGTCCTTTATCCCTCACCCCTCTCCCACTCTTTCCCCTGAGTCCCCGAAGTCCATTAGTCCATTGTATCATTCTTTTTTTTTTTTTTTTTTTTTGAGACGGAGTCTCGCTCTGTTGCCCAGGCTGGAGTGCAGTGGCCGGATCTCAGCGCACTGCAAGCTCCGCCTCCCAGGTTCACGCCATTCTCCTGCCTCAGCCTCCCGAGCAGCTGGGACTACAGGTGCCCGCCACCTCGCCCAGCTAGTTTTTTGTATTTTTTAGTAGAGATGGGGTTTCACCGGGTTAGCCAGGATGGTCTCGATCTCCTGACCTCGTGATCCGCCTGCCTCAGCCTCCCAAAGTGCTGGGATTACAGGCTTGAGCCACCGCACCTGGCCATTGTATCATTCTTATGCCTTTGCGTCCTCATAGTTTAGCTCCCACTTATGAGTGAGAACATATGATGTTTGGTTTTTCATTCCTGAGTTACTTCACTTATAGCAGTGGTTTCCAATTCCATCCAGGCTTCTGCAAATGCCATTATTTTGTTCCTTTTATGGCTGAGTAGTATTCCATGGGGTGTGTGTGTGTGTGTGTGTGTGTGCGTGTGTATGTGTGTATATATGAATATATATATATATATATTCATACACACACACTACAATTTATCCACTCATTGATTGATGAGCATTTGGGCCGGTTCCATATTTTTGCAATTGCAAATTGTGCTGCTTTTTGTATAATGACTTCTTTTCCTCTGGGTAGATACCCAGTAGTGGCATTACTGGATTCAATGGTAGTTCTACTTCTAGTTCTTTAAAGAATCTCCACACTGTTTTCCATAGTCGTTGTACTAGTTTACATTCCCACAAGCAGTGTAAAAGTGTTCCCCTTTCACCACATCCATGCCAACATCTGTTATTTTTTTATTTTTTGATTAAGGCCATTCTTACAAGAGTAAGGTGGTATTGCGTTTTGATTTGCGTTTCCCTGATAATTAGTGATGTTGAACATTTTTGCATATGTTTATTGGCCATTTATATATCCTTTTCTGAGAAATGTCTGTTTATGTCCTTAGCTCACTTTTTGATGGGATTTTTTTTTTTTAGTTGATTTGTTTGAGTTCCTTGTAGATTCTGGATATCAGTCCTTTGTTGGATATATAGTTTACAAATATTTTCTCCCACTCTGTGGGCTGTCTGTTTACTCTGCTGATTATTTCTTTTGCTGTGCAGAAGATATTACTTTTAAAAACTTTTTTGCTTTAAAAAAACACTTAAAATATAAAAGCCATCTTTGTTCAAGGGCTGTACAAAAACCATCAGTGGGCCATATTTGACCCACAAAACTGAGTTTGCCAATTTCTGATTTATTAGGTTTATTCTAGCATTCTTGCTTCTCTGAGCCTTTTGTTTCCCTTTTCCATAGTTTGCCAAAGCAGTATTGTCATCTCTATTGACAGTAGTATGTCAGAATCATCTCCTGGGCCCTTGTGAGGGTGTTAAATATTGAGTGTTCCAATATTGATACATTATCCCTCATCCAGTCTTATGTTCTACCTTACACCACAATCCATCACCTTCAGAATTCATGCCTAGGCATCTTCTCCCAGTCCCTGCCAGCATATGTTAGCCAGGTCCTTTAGTATATAACCTTTCTCTTCTCTTAGCAGACCCAGCACTTCCTCCATTAGCGTGGGCTGAGATTTCACCCTAATTACAGGTCTGATGGCCAGTAGGGGAGGCAGAGGCAGGGCCCAGCAGGGATTTTCTTCCATCAAGGGGAAGTGGGCCACTTTTGCAGCCCAGATGGTATAAGAGAAGCAGGTGGTTCATGGCTCTCAAATGCATCTTTCCAGAGATCCTCATTCCAAGTTTCAGGAGACTTCTCCTCTACTATCAAGATGCTAGCTTTGGCACAGAAAATTTACCTCGGCTTAGAATCCAGCCGTCTTTAAAGTCCTGTCCTTCTTACAATTAGCTTACGTACCATACCTGGTCTTCAGCTGTGGAGAGATGAGTGTCTCTTAAATGCTGCCAAGGAGGAGCTTTCACTCTCACACTTTGAGTTGCTGATAGGTCTGAGGCTGTCATTTTCTCACTTCAGTCCATCAGTGTAATTTAGCAAAAGTCAATTTTGAGTCCTAATAGTAACTATTTACCCTATACTGTTTACCCAATTCCAGAGTTCTAACAGTAACTATTTACCCTATGCATCTCAAATATTAGAGTCATTGTACCAGCTCATAGTTCCCATCCATCTGTGTCCCTCTCATTTCACCACCAGTCATGGGGTTTGTGTTGCCATCTAGCAGGCGAGTGATCTCATTCCGCAATCCTGTTCTTACAGGCTGCCTCCTAGGACTGTTCCCAGCAGCAACTGTTTTAGATCAGGTCCCTGGAAATAGAGCCTGACATGCAAATTCTGGTGAGAGTGACTTATTGGGACAGCTCTGAGATGAAAGGAAGTGAAGGAAGCAGTATAGGGAGGGCTAAGGGAAGAAAGCTCAGCATGGATATGGTCTCAGCTGGAGACTTGGCTGAAGCAAGAATTGTACACAGAGTTGGTTGAACCTTTAGGCAGAGAGCTGGCCTTTTCAAAATCCACCTAGGTCAGTCATTACCTCTGGCTGCTCACCAGGGAGGGCCCAAGAACAATTCTGTAGAGAAGGAGCTGCTGTGAGCTCACAGCCTATAGTCCAAGCATCTGAAAAATGGGAGTGCTGGTCAGGTAAAGAGATCTGAGCAGGAACTGTACATTAGTTATGGATCTCCGGAGGGGCAGAACCAATAGGAGAGATGGATGGATGGATGGATAGATTAGATACATAAATAGACAGACAGACAGACAGACAGACAGACAGATAGATAGATAGATAGATAGATAGATAGATGGATGAGGAGGGATTTATTAGGAGAATTTGTTCGTGTGATTGTAAAGGCTGAGAAGTCTCACCACAGGCTGTCTGCAAGCTGGAGACCTTGGGATGCTGGTAGCATGGCTCAGTTCAAGTCCAGCAGCCTCAGAACCACCAAGGCAATTGGTGTAATTCTCAGTCCACGGCTAAAGACCTGAAAACACAGGGTCGGGGGCACTCTTTTAAGTCCTGGAGTCCGAAAGCCAGGCGGCCTGGGGTCCTGATGTCCAAGGACAGGAGGAGAAGAGTGTGTCCCAACTCCAAAGAGAGAAAGACCACTTTTGCCTCTCTTCTGTTTTGGGAGAGGCAGGCCCCCAGGTGACTGGATAGTGCCTGGCTACATTTAGGGTGGCTCTTAGCCACGCACTTCACTCAGACTGACATGCCAATCTCCTTTGGAAACACCCTCACAGACACACCCCAAATGGGCTTTACCAGCTCTCTCAGGTCCCTTAATCTGGTTAAGCTGATACCTCAAATTACCTATGACAGGCACAACAGCATTTGCTGCAGACCTTGAGAGCCCGTAGACTGTGTTATTTAGGAGCATGGTCTTTGGAATCAGGCAGTCCTAGGTTTGAGTCCTGACTCAACCACTTGAGTAGCTATACTACCTAACTTTGATGAAGCTCAGTTTTCTCATCTGTAAAATGCTGATAATTATGGCATTACCTTCATAAGGTCATGAGAAAACTTCAGTCAAATAATAATGTAAGGCACTTAGCATCTTTCCTAGCATGTAAGCTGGAAAGTGAGTGGGACCATCAGAAGGGATGTTTTTGGGACCATCACAAGGGATGTTTTTGGGACCATCAGAAGAGATGTTTTTGGGATCATCAGAAGGGATGTTTTTGGGATCATCACAAGGGATGTTTTGGAGATCGTCACAGTTTCTTGTGGGGTGTGTAGTGGAATTATGGATTTTCTTCTCGGAAGAATGTCCCTTTAGGCAAAATTTTCTATCCAATTTACAAATCTCCTGAAATCCAGCTGTGCATCTCAGGTTAAGCACCCTCCTATACACAGTGGGAGCCATTGAAGAGTTTTAGGCAAAAATATGGACTAACCCAACTGTTGGTTTTGAGAATCACTCCGCTGGTGACCATGCGGAGTTGGACTAGAAGTAAGAGGGAGTCCGGAGACAGTGGGGATGAAGCCCAGGTGAGAGAGAAGACATGGATATAGAGATGGAAAAGAGGGAGTAGATTTCAGAACTGCCTGGGATTAAAATTGGATGAGGTTTTATAGATAAATCGAGTTGAACATTAGCCTCCATATTTCTGATCAGCTGGTGCCATAAACCAGGGCAGTGAATATAGGAGCAGGAGTGGTTTGTTGGGGCAGGAATGTGATGGTTTCTTTTGAGACAAGTTGAGTCTGAGCTTGCTGTGGGTCATCAGGTGATGATGCCCAGTGAACAGGTGGACACCCGCGTCTGGAGCTCAGGGCAGAAGCCTGGGCCAGTTTAGATAGAGATTTGGGCATCTTCAGAGGACAGATGGTGGTTGTAGATATAAGAAAGTAGATACTCATGAAGTAACTCAGAGAGCATGTTTAGTGTGAGAGAAAGCAGAGAGCAGAAGCCTAGGGGAACCCCATGGTTTGGGGAGCTGATGTGCAAAGAGAAAAGGGGCAGGCCTGGCTGAAGACGAAGGTGGGGGTTTAAAGGAGGAGAAGAGAATCAGGAGAGAGTGATGCCATAGGAGCCAGAGAAAGAGAGCATTTCAGAAAGGAAGAGGTCAACAGAGTCAAGTGCAGTAAAGAGCAAAAGAAAATAGAGAACGGAGAGCTGCTTCACTAAGCTTAGTGAACAGGAAGTAACAAGGTGTGTGGCACGTGGTATATGTAGTAAGTGCAGTTTCCGTGGACTAGTTAGCATTGAAATCTAGCTGTAATGTGGTTGAGAAATTAAGGGTTAAGGAACTGGTGTTGGTAAGAACACAAGTTTGCCAGTGTGCATGTGTGTAAGAAAGGATGAGAGAGATCACATTAACTCTCAATATATGTCATACTGGGGAGTAACTTTTGAATAACATCGCCACATACTCACTTTGTAGTTTGTTTGCTTTTAGAAGAAATCCCTCAGAATCCATTCTGTGGAAAGTGGCCTCCAGAGAAAATCAACTGGACAGGAAGAACAGATTCCCAGTGCTCCCTCACCCCCAGGAAGCTGTGTCCAGGCAGAAGCTGCACCTGCTGGGCTCTGTGGAGAGCAGCAGGGAGATGACTGTGCCGAGCTGCATGACTACTTCAATGTCCTGAGTTACAGAAGCCTGGGGAGCTGCAGCTTCTTCACAGAGACTGGGTAGCAAACAGAGGCATGTTCTGGAAGATACACTTTTGTCTTGACTATTATAGATGTCTTGACTAATATATAAACAGCTGTATTCGCCATCAGTGTGCGCGCGCGTGTGTGTTCAGTTGAGTGAATAAATGTCATCCTCTTCTCTATCTTCATTTTCTTGGCCTTTTCGTTCTATTCCATTATGCATTATGGCAGGCCTAGGGTGAGTAACATGGATCTTGATCATAAATGCAAAATTGAAAAAATATCTTGACCTGATTTTAAATCTGGCAGTTTGAGCAGATCCTATGTCTCTGAGAGACACACTCCTCTTAATGGCATTGGCCAGCATTTTGGGCTACAAGGTTTTGCGGTTGATGATGAGGATGGCATGACTGCAGAGCCATCCTCATCTCATTTTTTTCACTGTCATTTTCAGTAACATTCGCTCATTCAAAGGCATGTCATAAATAAGTCCTGTTATCAGCCTCTATGGGGAGATTTGAGAGTGACTAAATCTTGGTATCTGCCCTCAAGAACCCACAGTTAAATGGGGAGACAACATTGTCATGAAAAGGTATTAGAGTAAGGAGAGAAGGAGACATACACAGGCCTTCAGGAAGAGATGACAGTTTGGGGTGAGGTAGTTGGCATAGGCTTTTCTGTGCTGAAGTGGCCTGGGAGCACCAAGGGGATGTGGAGGCTGGTCTGGGAGGAGCAGGAGTTTCGTCTAGGGAACTTGTAGGAACTTCTTGGAGCTGAAAGTCCCACAAAGAAGGCCCTGGCACCAAGGGAGTCAGCAAACTTCAGATTTTATTCTCTGGGCAGGCATTTCAAGTTTCCTTTCACTGTGATGTACTCATCCATTAGACGGCCTGATACAGAGCACGCTAGGCTCTTCCAGCCATGCGTGCTGGGGAAGCCACAGGAAACGCACATCCCCACACAGGGAGCCAAGTCTTAGCATTTGGGCCTTGATCTACCTTTTCTGCATCAATACACCCTTGAGCCTTTGAAAAAGGAATGTTTCCCACTGAAAAGAAAATGTGGATTTTTAAAATAGAGACTCTTCCTAGAGGAGAAACGGGGGCTGGGGTGATAGAGGGTTTAAAAAATAAATACCCTCAAACTAACTTATTCGAACCCTTTTATTCACACCCTGATGTCTTTGTGCTGGGGTTGGGGTAACTGAACTGCTTATTTCTGTTTAACTGCATTCAGGCTGGATCTTAGAAGACTTTTATCCTTCCACCATCTCTCTCAGAGGAATGAGCAAGGAGGTTGGATTTACTGGTGACTGATTTTCTTTCATGAGCCCAGGAACTGAAAGAGAATGTGAAGCAAGGCTGTGTTTTGCCCATGGTTAAAAATAAAGCATTGCCCTGCTTCCTAAGACTTAGACTGGGGTTGACAATTGTCTTAGCAACAAGACAATTCAACTCCTATTTCTCCTTGGATTTTTTTTATTATTATTTTTTCACTTTTCTACCAAATGGGTTACGTAGTTAGGAAGAATGAACTGAAATCTGTCCAGAGCTCCAAGTCCTTTGGAAGAAAGATAGATGAATGTAAAAATGTTGTTTGTTTGCTGTGGCAGTTTACAGCATTTTTCTTGCAAAATTAGTGCAAATCTGCTGGAAATAGAACACAATTCACAAATTGGAAGTGAACTAAAATGTAATCACGAAAAGGGAGTAGTATTTTGATTTGGAGGAAGTGTATATTCGTCAGAGGTTGGACTGAGAGGTATTATTTAACATAATTATGGTAATTGGGAAACATTTATAAATACCATTAGGATGGTGATAAAATACAAAAGGCCCTATAGATGTTAGAAATGGGTCAGGTTACTAAAATGGGATTCAATTTGAAAAAAATTTTTTTAAAATAGAACTCACTGAACTAGATTCTCCTCTGAGGACCACAGAAGACCATCTCATAGCTGGATTCCTGGAGACATGCACTGTCCACGCGTAGCCACTTTCCACGTGTGGCCATCAACCACTTAAGATGGGGTTAGTTTAAATCAAGATGTGCTATTGTAATTGGTATAAGTATAAAATCACACTAGATTTTGTAGATTTAATATGAATAATAAGAATACCATTTCAGTAATTTTGGTATATTGTGTGTCAAAAATGATATTTGAATGTATCAGGTGAAATAAAATATTAATATTAATTTCATGTTTCATTTTATCTTTTTAACGTGGCTACTGGAGAGTTTAAAATTGCATATGTGGCTCTCACATTTCTATGGGACTGTGCCACTCTAGTAGCTAAACCCAAGCCAAGCTGATACCCAGGGAGGGTGTCTATCTATGTCTATTGGTTTCCATTTCTTTTTCTTTCATTCAAAATAGTGTTTGAGGAAGATTTTCCTGCTTATGATGTCTTTTGGGAAATATGTAGGGAAGCATCACAGAGAAGATTGAGGAAGGGGAACACTCAGTGCTGACAGGAAGCGATGCCAGGCTTTTCCGGGTCCCCTCGTGGATTCCCTAACAGGAGGAGCGAATAGACAAATCTATGAATGAGCATTCAAGGAGGAATACATTACTGATTCCCTGACCACATTCTGAGCCTGGGCATACAAGTCTGATCCGTAATCCTGAGAATTGTACTAAAAAAATGTGAGAAACTTTGAGTCATGGAGCTTTGAGACAGATGGTCTTCATGAGTGAACAGGACTTCACTATGCAGTTTTTGTCATGCCTTTTCCCTTCTCACCCCTGCGAGCCCTGGAAGTGAGTCGTCATACACTCAGGTTCATTCAGATTCCATCAGTGCTGAGCTGGACAGGCAGGAAGGCTGGGTGTGCTGTCCGCCAATGACAGCATTCTGGTGGGCACACCATACCCCACAGAGAGGGGGCAATGGGCAGTGTGGTTGTGGCTGTTATTTGTGGGGTGTGAGTTTTGTTTAGTCTCTTCCTTCAGGTGCTGCTTCATGGCTGTAACTGGTAGTTTCCCACACCTACTCCAAGTCACACCTGTCAAGAGGTACAGGGGGGCTTTTTGTGTGAAAAGAACCTGAGCTTTCTGGAAGTCACAACGGTATACTCAATGTTTGAGATAATTTATTTGCATAAGGTAGCGTAGGACAATGCTATCCAATAGAACTTTCCGCAACTATGGAAATGCTCTCTGTCTGTCCCATCCAGTGTGGTAGCCACTAGTTGCATGCGGCTGTTGAGCACTTGAAATTTGGCTAATGTGACAAAGAAACTGAATTTTAAATTGTATTTTAATTAACAAATTTAAATGTAAATAGCAACATGTGACTGGTAGCTAGTATATTGGACATCACAATTCTAGTAACTGCCTTGCATATAGAGAAAACACAGAGAGCTGTGTTTATAGGCCATTGGATGGCTCTCCAGTTGTTATGCATTTGAAATGGCTACCACCAGGAAGAAACTTGAAGGTTCTCCTCTATTCTCCTGTATCCATCCTCTCTGATCAAGACAAACCATGAGGTCAAAGCAGGCTATACATTTATTTATTTCAGGTTTTTTTCCATTAAAAAAATCGGAGGTGGCCGGGCTCAGTGGCTCACGCCTGTAATCCCAGCACTTTGGGAGGCCGAGGCGGGCAGATCACGAGGTCAGGAGATCGAGACCATCCCGGCTAACACAGTGAAACCCGTCTCTACTAAGAACACAAAAAATTAGCCGGGTGTGGTGGCGGGCACCTGTAGTCCCATCTACTCGGGAGGCTGAGGCAGGAGAATGGCGTGAATCCGGGAGGCAGAGCTTGCAGTGAGCCGAGACTGCACCACTGCACTGTACTGCAGTCTGGGTGACAGAGACTCCGTCTCAAAAAAAAAAACAACAAAACTCGGAGGTAGCTAAGTGGCCCTAAGTGGCCCAGTTCACTTAAATAGGGCCAAAACTGTCAAGAAGTTTACGACTCATAGGGATTATGTAGAAATAGACTTTCATCACAGGACTTACCTTGGACTATATTCATTCTGACTTTGTGTAGGCTGTGAAGAGCACCTTCTCTGGGACTAAAACTCTGATGGACTTCACAGAGATTTAAAAAAAAAAAAAGTAATTATGGAGTGTAGTGGACTGGGAATTGAGAAACTTGGTCCAAGTGCTGAGCTCTGCAATTAGTTTCATGACTTTGGATAAGCCACTTAACCTAGCAAAGACTCACAAATATGTCCTCATTTGTAAAATGGTAACATACTATCTTTCTAAGATTCTTAAGAAGATGAGGCAGGAATGTGGCTGACTGCTTTGTGAGCTGCAAGATGCTGGGTTAATATTATTGTGTTCTGCCCCAGGAGCATGTGCACCAGGCAGTGCTAATGATGCCACAGAAGTTTTCATGGAGGCAACAAAACTGGCTGGGAGCAACCGAGGTATCTGAAATTATCTATCAATGTTCTTAAAAACTGAGATACGAGGAAAGCTGAGAGTAGCAGATACAGCCTTGGGGTCCTCAAGTTCTCTGTAAGCATTTAAACATTGTGTGTTTTAAGTGAAATGATAATCTTTAAAGAAGTCAAATATATCTGGATATTGATAGCCTTCTTATAACAGAGTGTTGTCATTGGTTTTAGCCTCTATGTTTGTGTTTATAATCAAGTTTATTTAAAGGCACAGAAGCTTAATTTATAAATGATTCATTTACTCCCAGATGGGCGGAGCAGTGGAAGACTTTGCTGTAGTTGAACTAATAGGAAAGTGAAGTGATAATTTACTTTGCACACTGTAGTGTAGGCATGTTGTATTCAGAAGGATGTGTGCAGTACACTTAACTCTGTGAGCCACGACTTAGATTCAGCAAAGCATCATCCTATGCACTCATTGTTATTGTAGACATTATTAATTCTATAGTTTTACTTGTATTTAATTAGTAACTTTTAGTTTTATAATTCTACAAGGGGTATAAGCATAGTGAGTTCACCTGTCATTGGGTTTGAGCCTATTTAAGAAGGTCTATAATAAAATAATTTTGCATATTTTAAATTTATTACTAGATATGAAGAATACTCACAGACTCTCTCCCATTGAAGAGGTCTGTGAAAGTATTTTTTTCCTTCATATCGGCATATACATTACTCAAGTTTGAAAATACTGGTATGGTATAAATATTATTGGATTTCAGAAAACCTGACCTCAGGCACTAGTTTATTGTTTTTTATTGGAAAAACACATATTTCTGAACCTCTGTTTTTATAAATTAGTGCAATCATAGCTACATCATAGTATTCACAGTGTAACTGTGAAGATGAAGGATATTAAGGAGAAACTTCATAAACTGTGAAGTACCATATGA